AGAGAGTAGCCAATTAACCTACCAACATGTCTTTGGAGTGTGGGAGGAAACGGGAGTACCCGGAGGAAGCCCACGCAAGCATATATATATACACACACACACACACACACACACACACACACATATCCATGCACAACACCAAGCCACACCCCTTATCACAAGTGTCCTCACAAGGATTTGTATTGCAGGGAAGGGGAGAGCGCGAATCTGACCAGGTCCGTTACATTGCAGAGTGAACTGGGTCTAAAGGTGGCCATACACTTTACAACCATCGCAAGACCTTAGTCTTGCGATGGTTGTAAAGTAATTTTAAAAATGTACGATCTGCCCATCTTGGACAGGCAGATCGTACTTGCGATCATCGCAAGCCCGCCCCCCTGAGGGGCGGGCTTCCGATGACTGCAATGCTGAACGGGCAGTGTGCGCGTGCACACACCGGCCTGTCTGGCATTTGTCTCCCGAGCACCGTTCAAACCAGCCGAAAATCGTAAGATTTTCGGCTGGTTTTCTAGCATGCTCCTTGGACAAAAGACGTGCGACCATACAGTAGAAACGGTTGCACGTCTTCATTCACACTGCTCGATTCTCGTACGATCGCGGGATTTCCCGCGATTCTCGTACGAGAATCGTGCAGTGTATGGGCACCTTTACTCTGGTACCTATAGAACTGCAGTCATATTGAGAGCCCTGGAACAGCTGCAGTAACAGGAAAGTAGAAGTAAGACTTGGACATTGGAGATTCTTAGTTACATGTGACTGCATATCTATTTGTAAGATTTTAGTTGGCTTTAAAGTAGTAAATATCCCAGACCTCTCATATCTGGGAGACCTACTTAGCTAGCTGAGAAAATTTTGGTATGACCTTGTGGAAGATAGTACTATAAAGAAACCATTATTATAATTACAACCACTTTTTATGATAACATTTGGAGTAAATAGATCTAACAGTCATATTTTGCTGGGGAAACTTCCCGCTGTGTTTGCTTCGCTACCTTCCCCACCATGTCACAGCAAAGGAAAACACTCAAGTTGCACAAGGACCTCATGTAATCCTCTGCTTGCCTGACTGCATTGTGAGTCTTCTTCTGATCTACAGACTTGTTTTTGCTATGGGGTGAACTCATGGTGAATCATCACAGTTGCAGGCAGGAACCTGCTGTCAAAGTTGTTGAAAGGAAGGGGCGTTTATGGGCGCTCATGATAACCATGTGCCAGAAGACTGAGATTCAGTAATTTGCATATTATTTAACAGGCGATAACAACAAAAAGCCAATAGTAAGCTGAATGGTATCTAGTTGTAAAGTAGTAATTACAATGATTAGTAGGCTTGCCTTCTTCAAGTCTTAAAAGCTCTTCTATAGATAAGCCCCCCTGAGTAGACAATAGACACTTTAGATGTTGCCCAACTGTGGAGATATTTTGGTACACAAATTCGATGTTGAAGTACAAATATAGCCCTTTTACAATTCTTTTTAAAGCAACTCTGTCGCTAAGTAAAAAATGCCAAGTACCAAGAGCTGAACCTCTCTTACTGCCTTGCCTGTGATCTACGCTGTGTTGAAGGGCTACTGACTCATGGAATTATGTCGGATGTGAAGAGGTCATGGAACATGCGGCAGGGTGGGTGACAATAAAGCCTCTTTTGCAGTGCCAGGTTTCTGGTATTTTCTTTCTGAACGACCAAGTTACTTTAATGTTTTCATATATGTACAGTAGGTGACCCTGATCAGGTAATGTAAAGACATCTTATCAGTAAATCGACCATGCTTTGGTATTTAGTAAAAATTCTAGTTACGTGCCCTTAGAAACTCAGTTCCATCGCTCCAATTCCACTCCATTCAGCCTTCTGGTTATTTGGGAAACAAGCCATCACATACACTTGAGGGTTTTTTTGTGCCTCCAGGGCTAGTCCGCCAGAGTTCCAGGCTGTAGTTTGCATGGTACAAACTACTACTACTCACTACCACCACCCATTCTGATCAAAACTGTCACAAATGCATGCGGGGGGCGTATTGTGGAACCTGGCCTTGGGGCGGCAGGGAGAGTAAATCCGGCCCTGTCTGCTCCCCAGCTATAGGATTACCCTCTGTTACAGTTCATATTCTTCCTTTAGTCTTTTTATCAAATAGATCCAAAGAAGCTAATTTTTTACCACATTTGGTTGTAGCAGACCAAAAGGGCGGCTATTCTCGTCTATTTATAGACCTTCACAGACACATTTGGATAGTTAAAAACAACTTTTTATTTATAGAAATACATTAAAACGGGAATATAAAAACAAACGATTTCCATTCGTTAATCAAACAGTCCATTCCCCCCCCCCCCCCCCCAAAAAAAAAAATTGATCCACCAACATAATCCTAGGGTCAATCACGACATCCAGCGATGACGACTGGACGAAATTAAAAAAAAATAGAAATAATTTTTTTTAAACCCAATGCCTGCCGACCGTCCACTCGGGACAAACTCCCACCGCAGAATGGTAATTTGACAGATAAGGGCAAAATATAAAAAATTGGGCGGAGCTAGCGGTAACAGCAAGCTAACTCCGCCAAACTGTTTACATTTGTCCGGCACCTGAATTCATCATTACTTTGCCCAATCATGGCTCTCACAGTGCACTGTGATTGGGTAAAGCAATGCACCTGACCTGTGGTTAGGTGCATTGCTTTACCCAATCAGGGCTTCACAAGGCACTGTGAGGTGCGCAGTGCCTTTTGGGGGGCTCGGTGGGTGAGCAGCCCACCGTACGCCCTGATAGTTGGTCAACTCGAACATCGAGACCATCACTACTGGCATCACTACTGATGACTGTTATCACTGAATGTGAAAGAAAATTGCAAATTTTGGGGTGTCATCAGAACAGGAATAGAGGTGGCATCTTCCAATAGGGACACTGGTTCTGGTAACCCAACTGACCATCAGAGATTTCCATCACTGAGCAGGGATTTCCCCTCTTCCTGTTGTGGCTATCGAACAAGAAGTGAAGGGAAATCTCCCCAATGGGACACATATGCAGTAAAAAGCTGACGGGTTAGAAACCCTCCCTTACCCTATCCAAAGCTAAAAAAAAGTTTTGGCTTCAGTTTTACTTTAAATCCAATGGAACACTAGTAGATGATTACTCAAACACTATTCAGCACAAAAACATAAGCGTTCAAGATATTTTGTTGTTCTGTTTATGCATTATAATTAGGTTTGTTTATGTGTTTCAACTACAGTACCATCATGAAACGTTTTATGATATCAGATGTGCAGTGGTAACAGTCTGGACAAGCGTCTGGTCGAGGAATGGCTGAAAGAGTTTGGCCGAAATATAGAGACTGCCATTGCAGCACTCTTTACCCGAAAATTCTAGATCTCTGGCCATCATGCTGACCCTCTAGTGTCTATAAGTTCATTCAGTGACTTGCTACAAGTATGCAGATAGAGACTTCCAACTTTCCGGATCTGCATACTTGTTCCAGGTCAGTGAGTCAGAAATATTGAAGCCTTTGGATCAGTTTTACAGCCAGGCATTTAGCATTTTCAGAAAGAGTTCAAGAATTATAGCTCCAGTGTAGATTGCAGTACATATCCATGTATGAAAGACAACGTTTGCAACAGCAAGGAAGAAAAAATGGGAAGGCACTTTTATATCACTTTAAGACCTTTTTAAAATAATGTTTTTATTAGCAATTGGGCAGACACAACAGAAATTAAAGACTTAGTCATGTATAAAATGTTACTTACGACAACATGAGTCAGCTTTGTGTACTCCATTCTCTTGTTCCAGTTATGTCTTCCCACTGTCAAGTGAAGGCAGATTTGAAAAGGAAAATCCCTATTTAACCCAGTTTATGTATTCATGAAAATAAATAAATGCATTCGAACCACACTTTGGTCTATGTTTGTTCTAGTCACCTGTAATTCCCTGTACATCAGTAGTCAGACAGAGAGAAAGGGGCAGCAGTGCTAGCCAACTGAAGTGTACTACATTGCACAGTAATGGGAATTTAACAAATAGAGGCTGCTGATTGGAGGAGAGAGTCTTCAGATGACACCATTAGTGAGCTTTTCATTCACCATCCAACCAACGCCTTGACCACGCTGGATTGTGGTGGCTGTAGTAAAGAACATCAAATGGTCAGAGCATTGTGCAGTATCTGGAAAGTGTAAGGAGAATAGGAACACCAAAGTTATAGGAGCATAAATATGTCTTAAGCCAATGTGGTTCAGGGGCTATAAGGTTCCCCTTCATCAGGGAAATTGGTTCCATTAACACAAAAGCATGCTTCAGGATCTAGTTGTTTTTCGTGCAGTATCTGGCAGGGCCATCTGGATTAATATGAAAACTGGCTGTACAGAATTACAATGTTATGTGCAGATAAGACAGTTTACAAATCGTATTTTAACTACGCATTGCCAGCACTTATACTTTAAAGTGCAGTGTTTTTGGGGGGGTTTTGGATGGAGTAGGGAAGTGTTAGACCTTATCTCAAGTTTTTATTGCTGTCTGTGTCCTCATAGGAGAGATTCACCCTTCTATTTGTAATGGTGACTATTGTCATCTAACAAGAAAGTGAGGGAAAATTCACAATTTTACAGTTGTCCCCAGAACAAGAGGTGAGGGTAAAGCATCCAACATTTGGTTATACATACAAGATTTTAAACAAGGGAAAATAAGGTAGAAATCCTGGAGTACCAGGTCCGGTGGATTGACTCGTATTCATAGATATCACCACCTGCATTCAACGCACTTTGGGAGATCTAGATCTCAAACTCAACTAAACGTTTTTTTCTTCTTTGTTATTTTTTTCTGTATATAGCACTGTCATGTTCTGCATCAATAAACACACAAAAATGGTACAAATCATGGAATCTGAAATATGACAGTCCTGCTAACCAGAAAATACATTCTAATAGATTGCAGGAGAATTAACAATGGCATATATTCATGGCTTTTTATGTTCTTTAAAAAAATAATTTGGCTGATTTTTGTTTTCTTTTTGATTTTGCAGAGGACCAGCTGTGGTTACATCCTCTGTACCGTCCTGTTGTCTGTCGCTGTCCTCTTGGCGGTAACCGTTACAGGAGCAGTTTTGTTCATGAACCACTACCATGCTCCTTCCACAGAGCCTCCACCAGTGATTACTACCAACATGGATGACCCCAATGCCCTGGTCACCATAGAAAGAGCAGACAGCTCCCACATCAGTATATTCATCGATCCCAACTGTCCAGACCCCCTTCCTCGACTGGATGGCCTGCAATCTTCTCTGCTGTCCGCCATGGCTGACCACGACTCAGAGCTGAAAGTGGCTGTGGGAAAAGAGAGGGCTTTGCTGGCGGGATTGGCTGACCAAGTGACACAAATGGTTTCCCAGGTGTCCCGGCAGCGGGCTGATTGGGAGAGCCTAAGAAAAGGACAGAATGGATTAGTATCGGAGCTGGGGGCTTTGCAGAGTGAGCAAGGCAGACTTATACAGGTAAACTTTGATTTTTCTTGGAGGAATGGCATGACTAAGATAAGATTTAGTGGCACAGAGAACTAAGTACTCTAGCAACCAATCAGAATTCACTTTATTTAAATAAATACAATACGAATTCTAATTGCTTTCTATAGGCAATAATCTTGGCTTTTGGCTCTTTGCTCCTTACACTGTGTAATAAATAAGCTTCTGAGTCTTCTAATAGAAAAATTCCATGCTGCCTCATAACAATCAGATTTAAAGTGTGCTATTTTTCTGTGAAGGTTTGAGATTGATACCAGGGCATGATTGGTAGCTAGAGGCAGTGTCGGGACAAGGTTATGATTAGTAGCTAGAAGCAGTGTTGGGACAAGGCTATCTAGTGCCCAGGGCGAAGATACGAAACTGGACTGCGCCTCCTTCCCCCCTGCCACAGGTCGGGAAAGGGGCCAGGATAACAGCAATACATGCATCGCACCGTGCCGTTGTGTCAGTGGTGTCACTAAAAGGAAAAAAATATCTCTGCATCAAAGTGTCACTAAAAAGAAAAACAATATCTGTCACTAAAAGGAGGGGAAGGGAGCTCTGGGTTTGTCTTGCTCCACCCACCCTAATATACTTACAGTTCAGACCACTACCAGACCCTGGAATGAAAGTAGTTTCTTCTTCTCCCCCTCTTTGGTCATATGATATGTCACATGACAATGGGAGACAGGAAGAAGGGCAGTCTACCTTCCCTCTCCAGAGGGTAGAATCCCCCCATCCGCAGCAGCTATCCCTGTCCCTGCTCTGCGTGCTGCTCTCCAGCAGCACTTCTGTCATTCAGTACAAACACAAGATTTTCCAAGCACACTTATCAGCCAGCCTGCAAAAAAACAAATTACACTGTCTAACAATTAGGGTTTTAGCTGCACAACTTTTGCAAAATTTGTGGAAGCCTTCAAGGCAACTTCTGTCATTCAGGCAGCTAAAGAACAGAGTGCCAACAAGCTCACAGTGCCCCCCTCCACATAAAATCACTGTGCCCGGGGCACTTCCCCTCCTGTGCTTCCCCAGCTATAGGCAACAAGAGCATTTTTGTGCTGCAGAACAATTTGCATATACTAGACGGGGTCCCATAGATGCCAGCATTTCAAAAACATTTCCAGAGACACTTTGCGGAATTGCTGGAGTCTGTATATTGGAGGTAATGTGGACTCCGCTTGTTACATATTTACATGTTTGGGTGCTTTAGTCTTTTCTATTTATAATAAATGCTTCTCTGCACTTAATATTAAAAATTGCTCTCTCTAAAAAAGATAAAAATACAGCTGAAATACACACACATAAAGAATCTTACCTGCTGAAGGATTTGTATTTTTTTTTCAGCCAAGCTAGGGAAAGAGGGAGACTATGGTCAGAGACCAAACGTTACCAATGGTTTAAAATGTTAGTTTGTGTTCTGGTATTAAATGGAATCAATGCAGAGAAAGGGTTGCAAGTTGAGGGGCAATGTCTTGATCCATATACATACCTGGGAACTTTCCAAAATTAGTGAGCCTGAGATTGGGGTGGAAGGAGGTGCTTATAGCCCCAAAACAGGCACCAAGCTGAATTGGGAGCTATGCTTTAATAGTTTTAAATGCTTTAAAAGTGTTGTGGGTTGACAGTGTCAGGCTTGCAGGGGATTTAATTATAGTAATATGGTCCTCTAAGGCGTTTTTCAGCGCTGATCGAAGCACTGAAAAACGCTCAGCAAGTGAAATCCCATAATTTCCTATGGGCATGGTTCCCACCTGGGCGTATTTCAGCGCGTGGAAACGCGCTGAAAAATGTCCTACACCCAAACAAGTACAGGAGCTTATTTGGGGCGTACTTCAGCGTGTATCCATTGGTATGTCCGAGTGTGGCTCGGGGTTAACAAAGCGGTAACCCCAAGCCACACTCGGGAATACAGCGTAGGTCTTACCTTGTCTGCGATCCCTGCTGTGTCCTCCGGCCGCTGCCATCTTCCAGGTTCTGTCCCTTGCGAGCGTCCGCGTCGCAGGGGGGGCGGAACAGGCGGGAAGTTTGAAAGTTTAAAAACCCCGAAAAAAAGATAGAGAAAATAAAGGAAAAATAAAAAAATAAATCATACCGCCAGGGAGGTATAAAAACGAGCATCGAACGCGCGTTTCACTGAACGAAAAAACATGCTAAAAACAGCTGAAAATACGCGCCTATAGTATGCCCAGGTGTGAACCCAGCCTTAACAAACAGCACTGATATGACAACATGGTGACAAAAAAAGAGCATTACTGGCAATAGCTGAGCTAACAACAGGCAAGTGGCCTAGCCATTGTTTTCTTTGCCATTAGGAATCAAAGTGACAATCTGGGAGAATTCCAAAGAAGATGCCAATTTACTTTCCCCCAAAGTTCCCTGCAAGGGTCAGTTACTGCCCCAAGGTACTTAGTTTTCAATTTCTGCTGCAGAGTTAGGAGGCAGCTCATGAATACCAAACTGCAACTAGGAATCCACCTAATGAAGGGTATCAACAAAGTTTAATATCTTCAGATACTTGCTCTGAAAATATGAATAGGCATACACGGGGTTAAATGCACTAAAATGTCACCTGCACATCAGCAGCACACAAAGTAATGGGTTTAACCTTACTTTCTCTCCAGAGATGTACTCTGCAGCATTGCAGATACCTTTGGCAGGTAGCCATAGAGAGGACATAGAGGAGGAGTAAGCACAGCCCACATCTACCTCCGGCTATCTCCTCCTCAGCACCACCTTACCACTTTGCTATTAGTTGAGAGGAGTAGTGACGCTGCTCGTTTCTGCTTTTAGATTAGATGGAGTCTCCAGGTAAGATCCAGAGAATTCCCAGGTATGTCCATAAGAGTGCAAAGGATCACAGTCTTGCTAAAGCCCAGTTTAATTCCGCTAAATACATTCCAAATGCATCAAACTAAAGCCTGTCTCCTGCCAGCCTGGTGAAGAGAGGGACCCTTGCTCTCACATTTGCAAACAGTGGTCTCTATGCAGAGCTACAAAATGCCTCCTTTGGTGTTATTTGCCCGCACGTCAGTGACCTCACTTTTCTCCGGGGCAGGAAAACAATTCATCTTGGTCACGAAAAGTGAACAAACATAACTGCCCTGATTAGGTTGTACCTCTGCTCCCTTCTTCTGTCTGCAAGACCAGATTTTTTTGATTTTGGCTCACTATGCTGTATAGAAGATTCTAATCATATAATAATCTTAAAACAGATGTGCAGGGATTATAGGGATGATACCTTTACAGAAAGATTTAGGTTTCCTATACCAGTATTATTTAGAAATACATAAAAGATGATGTATAGATAAACATTTTTTAAAATCCTTTTGGATAGAGTAGGGAAGGAGGGGAGGGCGGGGGGGGGGG